GAACTTGACAGAGCCTAGATGAACTTGCCCAGAGTATTGCCTTCCTTCAAGATCAGATAAACTCACTAGCAGCAGTGACTGTAAAACATCAGAGAGGAGTAGATCTCCTAACACTGAAACAAAGGGGCTATGTTTGTCCCTAAAAGAAGAATATGCTTCCTTTGTCAATATATCTGAATAGTAAGAGACATAGTATAAAAACTGGCTTCCAAGATCCATGAAAGACTATTTGAGTCATGGATATTCTAATCAAATATATGGAACTGGGGGTCTTGGTTACTGTCCTGGACATGACCTTTATTAACACTTCTCATAGCCTTACTATTCATATTTTATTTACTTAATCTCTTAGTCAAATTTGTTACTTCTTGTTTGACAGCCATCACACTACTGGTGATGACCATAACTCAAGATCAGAACCTGTTTCCACTCCCACAGTTCATCAAGAAATCTTCAGAGGAAGGGGTCAATTTTCTTGAACTCACAGATCAGTCAGGGCTAGGGTTTCTTGGTCTCCACCTAGGTAGGGGCCAACACCCCTATTCAGCTGGGAGTAGCTATAAAAGACAAAACTTCCAACTTCAACTCCCCTAAAAGATTTTCAGGGACCAGGGCTCTCAGGAGGGAATAGTACAGTTAGAAACAAAGGAACTCAGAACATAAAAGCCTAGAAGATAGGCATGACTTTGGCACTAGTGAGAGATTCAGTGGGAGGCACCAAAAGCATATCTGGCTTTGAAATTCTGAAATCCTGAATTATTGGCCCCTTTTCTTCCCCTTTCCTGTTGCTACCTTCCCATGATCTTCAATAAATGTAGCTACTACTATTGCGTGTACGTTTGGCAATTCTTTCCTCATTATACACCAGAACCCAGACTACTACTGGCCCATTCAAATGTCCAATGTACACTCTGAAATGCTTTGCTCGTTGTACACAAGAGCCTGAAATCTATCTGTTGGATCCCATCGTGCAGTATCAACACCGGAGCAGGGCCTCCTTCAGTGGCCTTACCTCTGCACTTTCCGCTGCTCACCATGAATCTGTCAGACCTCCCTTCAAACTCCAATTCCCACCAGGGGTCCCCATGGTCATCCAGACCTCAGCACTGTTTCCTGGGTGCCAGTAACAGTTTCCTGAGGGTTAAGATGATGCTTGTGGGCTAGGAATCAATGGTGCCGCACCTGCCTGGCAAGCACAAGGTCCTGAGTTTGATCCCCAGTACAAAAAAAAAAAAAAAAAAGATGATGTTTACATTTCTTTGACCCTAGCCAGGTTCACAATAAAGTCTGGAGATGTACAACCCTTCAGTTCCCCTCACTATGATCCACCTGAGGCCTTCAATTTACTCTAAAAGCAAGATCCCTGTCTCTGCCCCAGGGCCCCAGCCTCATTAATCCTATAAATGAATTACAGTTAAAAATGTTCACTGAGTCAGGCATAGTGGTGCATACCAGTAATCCCAGCACTCAGATGGCTGAGGCAGGAGGATCACCAAAAGTCAGAAGCCAGCCTAGGCTACATGAGTGCAAGGCCAGGCTGAACTACATAGTGAGATGCTCAAAAAAAAAAAAAAAAAAAAGTTGCAGCATGAGATGCCTTCAAAAAGGCTATTTTGGGATATGGGTGTGTGGCTCAGTGGTAGAGAATTTGCCAAGCATGTGAGAAGCCCAAGCTTCCATCTCCAGCACTGCAAAAATCCAGAAAGGACCTGGGTAGGGCCCAGCTGACCATTCTCTGGAGGGGAGGAGTGTTAGCACAGCTGGGTCTAATGTCAGAACAATTCTAGCTTGGGCCCTAAATGCTTCCAAGTGATTCCAGGCAGCTCACTGATTTGGCAACTCATCTCTGCCAAGCTCTGGCAACAGTGAGTAAAAACCTTTAAAGGCACCACAACAGGCTAATACAGTACTGTGGAAGCCTCCAGAGAAATGAAAGGGAGCACAAGAATCACTACTGGCCCAAGAAAATTAGGGGAAGGGCAGATTCCAGATCAAAGGCCTAGACACACTACCCTTAACATAGGTAACCACAGCTGGTGGCTGGTGGGATTCCCAGCAGGAAGCTCCAGTGCTTCCCAGCCTGGCCCACAGAGCCCATGGTTCCCACTGACCCCAGTCTTAGCTGTCTTCCATCTGACTGAAGTACCATGATCAGCCGTTCATCCCTGTCAACTCCCAGCAGTGCTGGGCTCTGTAGTTATTTTTTGTTTTGTTTTGTTTTTGTCTTGTTTGGCACAGGAATCAAACTTGGGACCTTGTGCTTGCCAGGCAGGCATGGCCTACTGAGCTAAATCCCTAGCCCTTGTAGTACTGATTTTAAATATAAAGGAAAGCCACTCTTAAAACCAAATATGGGTATCCTACACACTTCTCCACCATTTACAGTAACTGCAAAAGAAAGACAATTTCTGTCACTCTGTTCAGCCATGTCAGCCTGGAGGAACTCTCTGCAGAGGGGAAACAGATTCAGGGATCACAGTGTCCCGGCCACCTTTGAGAAGTTCTTTCACCTCCACTAAGCTCTGGGACATGCGCTAAGAGAGCGAAGGTCATAAGGAACTAACTGATCAGGAGGTAGCAAATAAAAAGGAAGAACAATGGGAGGCCCTGGAGGCGGGTGTTTTCCTAGGAGAAGAGAGACTGGAGGCAGTCATAAAGCTGTCCCTTGAAGAGAGGAAGAGGGATTATTTTTTCTGTGTTGTAACCACCACCTCAATCCCTAGCCCTGCAGTGACCACATCATTTTGAAACCACCTGCTTATAAACCCTCCCACCCCAAAACCACAGCTCCCTGAAGAGCGCCTGTGCATGAATCACTTCGGATGCCCCAGCAACTAATCCAGGCGAGGATGAAACTGCTGACCTGAATGCAAAAATGACAGGAAGGCCTATTATGTTTCAAGAAAGGGAAGTACTTTCCAACAATTCCAGTTCCTTCCAACAGGCCAGGGTGTTAGGAAATGTGCCACAGGGAAGAGCCGCTAGCACTGGAATGTACTCATGTTAGCAGAGGGATGCAGGACAAAATGGCCCTCTGAGATGTCTTCCAGTTCTAAAACCCAGCCTCCTGAAATAGTGAGGGGAGAAGGCCCAGAGGAGGAAAGGCACTAGCATGGCACCCCCTCTGTGGCAGGCACACACATTCAGCCACTACCTTGTCAATTCTTACAAGCCTGGAAGGTAAGTTTACTAGTATTCCCATCTCACAGTGGAGGAATCTGATGTTCAAGGGAGGTTCAACAATTTGCCAATGACACAGAACCAGTAAGAGATAGAACCAAGACCATCAGGCTGCCCATGTAGGCAGAGACAGAATTTCTGCCCTCCTAGCCATGCAGAAGGTAGCTCCAGACCTTTTCAGCTTAATGGTCTCCATATTTTTATATGCCTGGATACTTTTACTTCTTTTTTTGGTGGGCTTTTTTTTTTTGGAGACAGGGTCTCACTATGTAGTTGAGATTGACCTGGAACTCACTATTTAGCCCAGGTTGGTCTCCTACTCACAGCGATCCTCCTGCGTCAGCCCTCCGAGTGCTGCGATTACAGGTGTGCGCCACCATGCCCGGCTAATATTTTTACTTCTGTAAGTCCAAAACATCTAAGGCACAGATCCAACTGTAGGGAAAAATATCTAGTCAGAGCCATCTGTTCTTTGTGAAGCAAGGAACTGCCTTCTCCCAGACTCCAGCCAAGGAACACAAGATACTACCAGAGGGGTCTGGGAAGGCTCTTATGAAGGAAACAACATCTGCACTAAGCCTTACCTGGTGAGCAAGGGGGCAGTGCTGGGCAGCAGAAAGGAAGGGCATCTCCAGCACAGTAAAGAATAAAAACAAAGGCAGAGAAGAAGTATGCAGAGAATCACAAGCCACTGGGTGTTGCCAGAACAGAAAACACATGGCACAGTAGAAGGACAGTGATCAAAGAGATAAACATGGCCTGCCAAATTATGAAGGACTTTGAATCCCATGCTAAGGACTCTAGATTTGATTTATTGTGAAGGCAATAAGGAGCCACTAAAAGATTTTATGAAAAGCTGGGATAAGATCAAACCCTTGCATTAAGATCACTGTGATACCAATATTAAGAGGCTGAGCTGCTGACAGTGAGACTGGAAGCATGAAAGCAATGCTGGAGTGATGCAGGCAAGAGACATGCTGGGGCCCAGGCTGACCCGTCTTCCAAGACTCCTCTACTGAAATTCCCAACAGAGACAACTTTCCATTCTTTGGGCACTGCCATGGAGACAGGCCTGCTTTAATGGCTATTAATTTTGTGGAGCCTCCCACACATCTTTCTTCAATGCTATGACGGGGGGGGGCGGGCGATGTCAATCCTAAATACCAATTACTAAACTCACTTCATATCAGGCTTTATGCCAGATCCTTTACACAAATAATCTCTTAGTTGTGCAACCAACAACCCTACGAGGGATTTTATTATTGTTACCCTCATTTGGGGGAGGAAACTCAAGTCCGGAGCTGGCAGCTTACCAAAGGTCATTCAGCCACTGAAAGGGAGTCAAGATTTCAACAGTGTTCTACTTGAGGGTAGACACTGCCAAAAAGTGCAGAGAGGGCTAGAGGTTCTGAGTCCTGGGCTTCTCCAAAAAAAAAAAGAGACCGCCTTTCTGAGGGAAAATAATGTGTACCCCTAGCCTCAATTGACCGAGAGGCGAGAAGTGGGGAGCCCGAACCCACACAAACGAATCAGGAGGGACCTACCCTAGGAAGCCTCCAACTACAGAAAGAAGAGAATGCGCCTGAGAATGCCAGACCGACAAAGCAGGAAAAAGGACACACAGCAGCAGACTCAGGGAAGGGGCGTGGCTCCGAAAGGACAGTTGGGGGCGGGGCCATGGGGGCGGGTCTCTCTGCGCCCCTAAGACTCTAGGACCAGCGGGACCCCTACAAAGGGGCGGGACAGCGAGGCGGGCGGAGCTGAACTGCATGCGCGACCCACAGAGTTGTCAGGTCACCTCCCCAAGACTGGACCCAAACCTCGTTTCATACTCTGGCTCCAGCAGGACTGATCCGGGATCTCGATTGTGTAGTCCAGCTCAGCCGGGACCATGGTGAAGGTGCCGGCCCTCCGCACGGGCCTATCACCGGAACTCTGGCTCGGGCACTAGCTCAGCAACTGGGCGCATCCTGGGCACTGCCCAGCCACCGCCCCCTCTCCACCCTCTTCCCGACACTGCCCAATCCCAGGGCCGCCCTCTGTGACACCCCCCACACACACACACCCACAGCAACCACCGAGCCTTTCTGAGCCTCTCCGGGCTCCCTACTCTGCCATAGCAACCAGGTCCCGCCCCCCCTTCGTTTTGGCCCACAGTCGTTGGCTCGCTCTCTAGATCCGGACTAGGTATTGGTCAGCTGGGACGCCTATCAGGAAGGGCATCTGCCTCGGGGCTCTCTGTTGTGTAGGGAAGAGTCGGAGAAAGAGCCTTGTGTTCTGGAAACGCTAAGGGTCTCTTTTCGCCTCCGCGTCTTATCATACACTGCGGAAGACAGTGCCCTTTGACTTGCCTCGTCTAGTTACCTCTACAATCCTCCACCAGCCGCAGCTCCAAGGGCTGGAGGTAGAAAACCGTACGAAACGGCCTCGGCGGCGCGTGCCAACCCGTCCTCCACCCAGTGGAGTCCAGGCGTATTCCGGCTGACTGGGTGGGTGAATGGGATACGGTGTTAAACTGACTTTACAGAATGCCCTGTTTGTGGAGGCACCGAGGTACTAAGAAGTACAGCTTTCTTGCGTTTGTCCACGCATTTAACAGACATTTATGAGCGCCTCTTATGTGCCAGATATGGGCTAAATAAGACTCCTTGGGTTCTCCTGAGGATCCAGCTTTTGGCCCTGACTATAAATCTTAACAGGATAGGGAGAAAAATTATACATAAGCCAAATCTAATTCTATGTGGGGAATAAATAGTGTAGAAGAGTAAGAGCTCAGAGTCTGAGAGAAAGAGCATTGTGGTAATGGGGTTGGTTTTTAAACTGGGCCTTGAAAGACTTGGAGACTTGAGAAAAAGACTCCTTGGAGAAGCCCAAAGAAGGAAAAGTCAGGGGTGAGTACAAGAAATTGCACGAAGGGTCTCTGGCCAGGGGAAAGACTAATATGAGAGAAACCTTTGAAGAGCAGGGCCAGATACTGGAGAATCTTTGATGTTAAACTCAGCCTTAAATTTATAGGTAGATTTTGCTGATGGGAAAAAAAAATCCAATGCATTTTACACCTGTGAACATAAGTGCTTAGATTTATTGTGAGCCAGTAAGGAGTCATCGGGCCTTAAGCAGAGTAATGTTCAGACATGTGTTTTTAAATATAACAGGAGAAATGAAGAATGATTTCTGGTTTTCTGGTTTACACAACAGGAAGGAGAGGAAGGAAGCAAGGCTTTTTAAGAGTCCATTCTGGGCACGGTGAATGTGAGGTGCCCGTTGAACATCCATTTGGAGGTATCAAGGAGGCAGCTGAATTATGCCTGATTGGAGTCACAAGATGAGCCTAAACTGAAAGTAGAAATATGGGGTCTGTTGGGCCTTGTAGATGACAGCCACGCCTGTAGATCTGTTAAGCTTATCCAGAGGGTGTGTTTAAAAAAGAGAGGGCCTAGGGCAGAGTGCTGAGAAGTATGCAAGTGTGAGGGTCTGGTAAAGAAGGATGAGCCTGCACAGATATTTGAGATGAGGTGTTGAAGATGGTGAGAAGATAATCATTAATGAACTGTGGAGTGTCAGAAGCCAAGGGAGGAAAGTATTGAAAGCTGATGAGTAATCAAGTAAAATAAGGTATGAAGGAAGACATTGGATTTAGAAACAAGGAAGTTGTTTGAACCTTTGCAAGTTCAGTTTCAATGGAATGATGGGTGCAGAGGTCCAATTACAGTGGCGTAAGAAGTAAATAGGAAGATAAGGAAATAAAGATTGCATGCGAGATACACTTTTAAGGTTAGACTGTCATGGTAGAGCATCTGCATAGCGTGCAAGGAAGTTTTGCTGTTGAAGAAAAGAAAGAGATCCAGGCGTGGTGGTGCACACCTGTAATCGCAGCACTCAGGAGGCTGAGGCAGGAAGATTCCCATGAGTTCAAGGCCAACCTGAACTAATAGCAAGCTCCTGTCTCAGAAAAACAAGAGAGAGAGAGAGAGAGAAGAAAGACAAAGTGAGAGCTGAAAAGAAAGGTGGATTTTTATTCAGATCAGAGAGATACTGTTGGCATAGATCCAGCAAAAAGAAAAAGGTTAAATTATAGGGAAAATAAGATAGTTGGGAAAGTGATATCCTTGAAATAAGAAGAAAGGAGAGCCAGAGCATTGATGGAGAAATTCACTTAAGAGTAGAGGGACATTTGTATGTGGCGGCAGGGAGGCATGTGTGTTGACATTACTACTATTGTAGTTTGATGACAGGAAGTTGAGGGAATTTCTCTTTGACAGTTGCTATTTTCTCTGTGAAATCAAGACATGATATTAGCCAGTGAGAATGGAATTGGAGATGCTGTGTAAGGGTGAAAAGAGCAAAGAAAAGCCAGGCAAAGTGGAGCACACTTGTAATCCCAGGTACTTAGAAAGCTGAAGTAAAAAGATGAGTTCAGCACCAGCCTGAGCAACATAGCAAGACCCTCCCCCGCAAAAAAAATGGAGACACAGATTGAAATAGCGGCACTGGAGAATGAGAGTGAGATGACTAAGGAATAAGGAACTGGGTTAGCCTTTGGTGAGAAGACACTAGCCTCCCACCCAACCCTGAGATCCTTACATCTAGAGTGTAAAGCACAGGCTGCCTACAGCAAGGGTGGTATGCAGAAGTGGAACTCCAGGTCAAGCTAGCTCTGGGCACAAGGGAGAAATGGGCAGAGGAACTGGAGAAACAGGATGAAAGAGACCTAGTCAAAAATGAAAACTATCAAGGTCAGAGAAAGAAGACTAGGAAGGGAAGGAGGGAGAAGTCAGCCAAAGATGAACCCTGAAGGGGTGAGCAGAGGGTGGGCAGACTGTTTGACCCAGAGCTACATTTTATAGGGACAGTTTGAGGTTAGGTCTGGGAATGGAGTTGGGGCAGAATTGAGTATGGGGAAAGAAAAAAGCATTCTGAGTAGAGAATGAGGGAAAATCTGGGAAGAGGATGAAGGCAGAGGGTTTCACAGAAAGGAGATGAGGGAAAGGAGGTCTCTGGGGAGATGTGGGGCAAATGGAATCTGCAGGAAAGTGATGGATGGCAGGAGGGTCTGTGAAGAAAGTATGAGTAGGGACAGGAGGATTCTATGAGAAGAAGATGACAAATTAGAGTGCTTATGCCCCTGCAGTAAAGTGAAGGTTCGGACATCCTCTGGCTGGGCTGGAAGTTTGGGGAAGAATGTTTATATCTACAATGTGTGCTGCACAATGTTTTGGTAAAAGAGGGGCCATATAGGGCCGGGGATTTAGCTCAGTGGCTCTGCCGCCTGCCTCACAAGTACAGGGTGCCAAGTTTGATCCCCGGCATCAAAAAATAAAACGAAAACAAAAATGGGCCATATATATGACAGTAACCCTATAATCTCTTGAACTGAAAATTTCTTATCATCTGGCAAATATAAAACTGAAGGCCAGGCATGGTGGCGCACGCCTGTAATCCCATCACTCGGGAGGCTGAGGCAGGTGGATCGCTGTGAGTTCAAGACCAGCCTGGGCTACATAGTGAGTTCCAGGTCAGTCTCAACTACATAGTGAGACCTTGTCTCAAAAAAACCATTAAACAAAACAAAACAAAAAAAAAACCTGAAAAAAAGCGAGAGAAAAGGAAACAACGGAGGACAAAAAAGAATACCAAGAAAATTCACAGGGATTGGTTTAGCAGAAGCTTCTGCAGACCTCAGTAAGCTCCTTTAAAAGTTGGAAATAGGGCCAGGGATTTAGCTCAGTGGTACTGCCACCTGCCGTTCAAACACAAGGTCCCAAGTTTGATTCCCCATTCCAAAAAAAAAAAAAAAAGTTAAAAACAAGCTGAGCATGGTGATACACACCAGTAATCCCAGCACTTAGAAGGCTGAGGCAGGAAGTTTACTGTGATTTGAGGCTAGCCTAGACTACATAGTGAGTTCAAGGCCAGCCTGGACTACATAGCAAGACCCTGTCTCAATTAATTAATCTTGGGGGGCTAGAGATGTAGTGCAGTGGTAGAGTGCTTGTCTAGCATACACGAGGCCCTGTGTTCAATCCCCAGTATCACCAAATATTAATTAAATGTTTTTTTTTTTTTTTTTACCGGGGATCGAACTCGGGTCCTTGCGCTTGGAAGGCAGGTGGCGGAACCACTGAGCTAACTCCCCAGCCCTCAATTAATTAATTAATTTGAAAACAAACCAAAAGCAGGGACACAGGCCTATAGTCCCAGCACTCAGCAGGCTGACACAGGAGGATCACAAGTTCAAGGCCAGCTTGGGAACTTAGACTCTCTGAAAATAAAACGGGCTTGGAATGTGGCTCAGTGGTACAGCGCCCCTGGGTTCAACCCCAGTATGACCCACACAAAAAGTTGAAACATGGAGTTAGTGGTAGAGTGCTCACCCAGCTTATGCAAGGCCCTGGCTTCCATCCCCAATGTACCCCCCCATTTTTTTTTAAGAGAGAGGGGTGTTCATAATGCATTATCTGCTTACAAACAAATCTATAATAAATAAGAGGGAAGAAGAAAAAGAAGTTGGACATGATGGCCCAGGCCTGTAATCCCAGCTACTCTGGAGGCTGAGGCAGGGGAATCACAAATTGAAGCCCAGTCTGGACAATTTAGTGTCACCCTCCTTAAACAAACCAAGCAAACCACCGTGGACTCTGCAAAGAGTGACACCTGCTCAAGAGGCTCAGACAGGTCCTTGAGGAGGAACTCCAGAAGGTGTTGCTGTCAGCAGAGGTGCTGTATGTGCTGTTTCCCCTGAAGACCTTCCGGTGCCACAAGATAGGGAGGTAATGATCCTGACTCTGTGATAGGCCTAGGCTGTACAAGGTATTAGTTTTTAACAAAAGTGTTTCAAAAGTAAAATAATAATAATAATAATAATAATAATAATAAATTTCTAAGTTAAAAAAACAGTATATAAAGCAAGAAAATGTTTTTATACAGGTATTTAGTGTATTTTTTCATTAAGTTTATTAGTACATTTTAGGTATACAATACAACAGCATTCATCATTGGGAACTTGTACCTTTACATGATGTATCTTGGTTCTTATTTTTTCCCTATTCCCCTACCTTCCCTTCAACCCCTCCACCCCTCCCTATTTACAGAGACTTTATTTCCATTTTTTCTTAATGTATATTTTAAGCTAAGTATTATTTTTTAAAAAGATAGTTTTCACCGGGCCTGGTGGCACATGCCTGTAATCCCAGCACTCAGGAGGCTGAGGCAGGAGGATCGCTGTGAGTTCGAGACCAGCCTGGGCTTTATAGTGAATTCCAGATCAGTCTCAACTACATAGTGAGACCCTGTCTCAAAAAACCAAAAAAAATATAGTTTTCAAACCTTGATTTTATAAAGTAACAGTAAACTAAGCATGTTGTTCAGCTTTCCATCATATAAACTATAAACTGAGAGGCCTGGGATTTAGCTCAGTGGTACCACCACCTACCTCACAAAAGCAAGGTCCTGAGTTCGATCCCCTGTACCAATAAATAAATAAATATATATATAATATTTTAATATATATTATATATATAAACTGAGGTAACTTGACTTCATGGTTTCAGAGTTCTCAGGCCGTGGTTGGTCACCTTAGTGGTTTGCTGTGGTGAGACCAATACTGGTGGGAAGGATGCAACTGGAAAGTCACTCTCCTTGTGGCAGGGGGGAAGCAGAGGGAGAGGGGCCAGAGTCCCAGTGGCCACATCCAAGGAAGCCCCTGATAACCTAAAGCCCCACCACCTCCCAGTACCACCGTGGACTGGGGAACATGCATTTAACCCCTGAGCTGTTGGGAGATATTTACCCAAACCAAGGCCCTAATGTTGGGCCCTGCAGATTGAACACAGGCTGTGACAGTTAAACTGGATTGTCAACTCCATTGGCTTGAGAGATGCGTGGGGAATGAGAAAGCATACTTCCCTTGAATCCGGGTATGTCATGGAGGCGTGACCTCAGGTACTGTGTCGCCGGCTCCTTCCTCTCTGGTGCTGTTCTCTACTCTACTTTCCAGGCTCCATGAAGTGAGCAGCTTTGCTCCTCCATGCCTTTCCGCCATGATGATCCCCCTTGGAACTGCTGACCATGGACTAAAGCCTCAGAAGCCTCTCCTTTAATTTGTAGATGTCAGGTATTTTGTCCCAATACCAGAAAAGCTGACAAATACAGAGGCCCTAACCCATGCTAGGTAAGCACTCCACTGATGAACTATATTCCCAAATCTTTTTTTTTCTTTTTCTTTTGAAACAGGATCTCACTGCCCTGCCTGGGTTGACCTCAAACTTGAGATCTTCCTGCCTCAGTCTCCCGAGTAGCTGGGAATTCAGGTGTGTGCCACTGTGCCCAGCTGGTAATTTGTTATTAAATAAGAGCCAGGTGTGGTGATACACACCTGTAATTCTAGTACTGTAGGAAGCTGACACAGGCAGATCATAAGTTCAAGTCCAGCCTGGGCCACCTAGTAATACCCTGTCTCAAAATTTTAAAAATGTACTGAGGATGTCAGTACAAAGACCGTGGGTTCAGTTCCCAGTATCACAAAGCAAAAAAGAAAGAAAAATATTTTATTATAAATGTAGTATAGCTGGGCATGGTGCCACACATCTGTAATTCTAGTATGTTGGGAAGTTGAGGCAGGAAGATTACAAGTTCAAGTGCAGCCTGAGCTACTTAGAGACTCAACGATACCCTGTCTCAAAATAAAAAATAAAAAACAAGAGCTGGACTCAATCCCCAGTACTGCTGAGTGTGTTGGCACACACCTGTAATCTCTGCACTTGGGGGGCTGAGGCAGGAGAATCTCAGTGAGTTTGAGGCCAGCCTGAACTATATATAGCAAGACCCTGACTCAAACAAAGAGAAAGCATGTGAGAGAAAGAAATTGAGTAGCCTAGTTGTAAAATCTACAGTAGTGTGCAGAAATGTCCCCATCCTTCACTCTCACTCACCACTCACTGACTCACCCAGAGCAGCTCCCAGTCCTGCAGCCTCCATCCATGACAAATGCCTTGTACAGCTCTGTCATTTCTATCTTTCATAGCTTTTGGGGGTGGGGAGCAGTATAGGGGCTCAAACCTAAGGCCTCGAGCATATGAAGGCAAGTGCCATCCCATTGAGCTACAAGCCCAGCCCCCCTACCCTATGTTTACTGTACTTTTCTATGTTTATGCATGTTTAGATACACAAATGCCTGCCATTAGGTTGCACTTGCCTGGAGTATGCAGTACAGTAGCATGCAGTCCGGGTTTATAGCCTCGGAGCAGTAGGCGAGACGTGCAGGAGGCTGCTCCCCTCAGGCTTGTGTAAGCGCATCCTGCCGTTCACACCATGTCACAGTCTCTCACAGCTCATCTGCACGGAGCCAAGCAGGACTGAATTTATAGTCTTGTCTCCAAATGGAGGCCTGAGAGTGAGGAAGCAGAGCTAGGTAACCAGGAAGAAAGACTCTGCCTCTCCCTGCATGTAAAACCTCCAACAATGAGATAGTAACTGTTACCTGTTTCTGAGGCCAGCGGGTACAGGGAGCCAGTCTGACAGCCCATGCCTTCAACACTTCTTTCATTTACGTGTGTGTGTGTGTGTGTGTGTGTGTGTGTGTGTGTGTGTTTAGGGGGAAAAACCTCTTTGGAAAATTTAGAAACAAGATCTATTGACCTCTCAATATCTAATACCTCCCCTTGTTGTTAAGGACCTTTGGTTTAGCATAGGAGCTGGAGTTTTTGAGATTTTGTGATTTTAGTTTCCATGCATGAAAAAGAACCATTTCGCCACTATAGAAATGATTTATAGATGAGTCCAGATTTATTAATCACTTCTGAAGATGGAGAGGAAATTAAAAACAGAGTCCACTCTGGCTGAAGACTAAGTAGGTTAGTTGTCCTTGTGAAGACCTTGCCAAGGTTAGGAGGCCACAAACCAATTTGGACCATGGTTCCTAATCTGGATTTTAATTTCATGTGCCTTGATTTTTCACACCATTTTCTCTCCAAGGTAAAATAATGACTATTTTAATTGGCTGCCACTTACAGAGAGATCCCAATAAACATGGCATCCGCACATTTTTCTTTGGCATTCCATGTGTGCTCCAGTTCTTAAGATCAAGCTGGTGGCGCTGACTTTTACTGCATGCTGCATGCCATGATCAGCTGACTATAAATTAAATCCTCTTTTCCAAAAGCCATTTTCCATTAGTGCTAATTTGTTTGCTTCTCATTTCCACTGATCATTAGAGTCTCTGGTTGTGAGCACCAAATTGGAAATAATTTCCTTGACATTTCAAAAAATTTTCTCCCCTTCTCGAATGCCATTTGGCTGCATCTAAAGAACATTATGGTTTGCAGAAGAACAGTTCACTCCAATTACAATTTAACTGACCGTTCATGGCACTGAATCCCTGTCCTCAGTGTCCAAAGATGACACCACTGCTGACATTGCTATTTCCTGTCATAGCTGTAAAATGCCTCATAGACCTTGCACTGGCCTCCTTGGATGGAGATTGTGCCACTCCGCACATGGCAGCTTTGGAAAGTTGGTAGCTTTATAGACCTACATATCATGGACACTCAGACATAACCATCTAAATAGGAGCTGGCTGATCTCCACACTCTCACCCAGAATTTATTAAACAATTATTTTATGCCAGGCACCAGGGACACAGAGAGGAGCAACCTCTGCCCTTGGGGAGCTCATACTCTAGAATGGGAAAAAGGTTAAATTTTATGGCACAGCAAAGGAAGAGGTGAGGTAGATGGGACTGCAGTACTGAGAACACCTAGTAGTTGCAGGGAATCTGCCAAAGTGCAAAAAGGAAACTGAAGGCAGAGCAGCCTTGAGAGGCACAGAGGGCCATGGAAAGGCCTGGAGAAAGGAGAAGTCAAGGTCTGTGTTATGTGGAATTGACTGGAAATGTGGTTAGTTTGGGCTGTTTGTTTTGTATTGAGAATTGAACCCAGGGCCTTTATATTGAGCTACGGTTCTTTTTAATTTTTTTTTTTTTAAGACGGTGTTTTACTGAGTTGCTAAATTACCCAGGCTAGACTGAACTTGCAATCTTCCTGCCTCAGGCTCCCAGAATGCTGGGGTTACAGGAGTGTTCCACCATGCCCTGCAGGGCCATGTTTTGAAATCCCTGCCATGTCATCTTGAGTTTAGATTTTATTCTGTAGGCCAAAGGGAGCTCATGGAGAAACTTAGAGATGAAGAAAGGAGGAAGTGTAGAAGACTGAGGGACAAATAATCTCAGAAAGACTTTGTATTTATGTGTTAGGGTTGGCAGTTTAAGGGAAGAAGTGAAAGCCTGTAATCCCAGTACTCTGGGAGGCAGAGGCAGAGGCAGGAGAAAAACAAATTCAAGCCTGGCCTGGACTTAGATGATCTCTAAATAAAAAGGACTGAGGATGTAGTTCAGTGCAAAGGCCCTGGCTTCAATCCCTGGCACAAAGGAAGGAAGGAGGGAGGGAAAGAGAAAGAAAAGAAAGAAAGAAGGGGAGGGGAGGGAAAAGATAGGCTGGGGAATGTAGCTCAGTGATAGAGTACTTTTTTATTTTGAAGCAAAACCTTTATTGATACATTTTAGATATACATAATAATAACATTCATCATAGGGAATTTATTCCTGTATATGATATATCTTGCTTCTTTTCCTCCCATTCCCCCCTCCCTTTGACCCCTCTTCCCCTCCTTATTTACAAAAACTTTATTTCCATTTTTCCTTCTGTTCTCTCTTTTCCTTGTCCCTTCTTTCCTCCTCCCACCTCTCTTGTTCCCCTTTACATTTGAGCATTCCCTTCCCATTTCCCAATAAGTGATAAGAGTACTTGCCTAGCACGTGCAGGAGACTGAGTCCAATCCCATGATGAACTTAACGTTCCTCTCCCTTGTCCCTTGCCCTGTGCTAGTCTTTTTTTTTTTTTTTTTTTTTTTTTTTTTTTTTTTTTTTTTGGTACCAGGGATTGAACTTGGGTCTTTGCACTTGCAAGGCAGGCGGCAGAACCACTGAGCTAAATCCCTGGCTCTTTTTTGGTTCTTTGAGACAGGGTCTCACTATGTACTTGAGACTGACCTGGAACTCACTATATAGCCCAGGCTGGTCTCGAACTCACAGCGATCCTCCTGCCTCGGCCTCCTGAATGCTGGGATTACAGGCATGCAGCACCACACCCAGCTTTTGCCCTGTGCTGTCTTAATGTTCGTGCTTGGGCCACCATCTTCCTAATCACCTGAGAGCTGTCTTGGGCTTAGAGCAGTCCCTTGCTCTCCTTATCTGAATGTTTGCTGCTGGGTTCTGCCTGTCATACTCCTAACTCGCCCTCAGACCAGGGCATTTAGCTTCACCGGCACTGGCACCACTTTCGTGTTACACCCTAACCCCTTATGGATTACAGCAACAGCCTTCCAAGTCTCCTCAGGCTGATCCCATCCTACTGCCACAGAGAGGCAAGACTTTCAAAGAATTAAAACTGGACAGATGCCACTGCTACAAACTCTTCAGAGATTCTCTTTACTGAAGGAGAGTTGATATAAAAATAAATAATAATGGGCTCTCGATTAAACATGACTGCTGCCCTTTATCTCCCCCAGCTTCTACAAACCTCAGTGACATAAAACTAAATATGAAGTCACCAAAGTTCGGGAAAAGAGGCAACAATACATAGATTCAACAAATATTTGGAAGGTAGAATGCAAGTGAGTGTTAACTGGCTCAACACTAAGTGAAGAATGTGACAGGAAGTGAAGCAGTCCCAACTTTAACCTTGGGGAGGCCCAGTGCTTGGAATCATGTAACCAGAAAAGGTAAAAAGTGAAGGTGTGGGCTGAGCACAGGCATCGGCTGACAGCTGTGTACAGAGCACTTTGCCTCCCTCCAGAGCCCACCCTCAGCAGGTGAGCAACACTCCAAGCCCTTAGCTGCATAAGATGAAGGAAATTGGACCCTGGAGGCTTCTATCCTCATGGACTTCAAGCAGTTGGATGGGCAGGGATGATATACAGGGTGGAAAACTGAGGAATAGAGGAAAAATTGACATTTTAGAGCCCGGCTCCTTCCTCCCCTCCCAGGGGGCCAACAGCCACGTGTTTATCTCACCCATTCCCCCTGTAGATACTAGTGACTGTAGAAGAGGGAAAAATAACCTCCATTGACTAAATTTGTTAGTTCTCTGATGAAAAGACTGTTTCCTGATAAATTTCCAAAAACTGAAGAACACAGCAGCTAGTATTTAAAGCCCAGCAAGGGGCTGGGGATTTAGCTCAGTGGTTCTGCCGCCTGCCTTGCAAGCACAAGGACTGGAGTTCGATCCCCAGTACCAAAAAAAAAAAAAAAGGAATAAAGCCCAGAAAGGATCTAGTTCAGTACATTAAATGAAAAAGACCTACACCAAGGCACACCATCGTACACTTTTAGAAAAGCCTTCAAAGGCACAGGAATCAAAATGACATCAGACCTGTCATCAACAACAGCAACTGGTAGACAACCTCGCTTCTAACAGAGTCACACACCCAGTCTCTCCTCGACATGAGGTCAAAAAGAGTTCCAGGCCTTCCAGGACACACACACAAAACTACTCGAGAATGTGCTTCAACAAAACAAGGGAGTAAAACAAAAAGGAAGATATGAGATACAGCATAGAAAAATGGCGAAAGGAGGCTAGGTGTGGTGGCTCACACCTGTAATCCCAGCACTCGGGAGGCTGAGGCAGGAGGATCACTGTGAGTTCGAGACCAGCCTGGGCTACGTAGTAAGTTCCAGGTCAGTCTCAACTACATAGCGAGACCCTGTCTCAAAAAAGAAAAATGGGGCCAGTGATTTAGCTCAGTGGTTCCGCCACCTGCCTTGCAAGCACAAGGACCCAAGTTCAATCCCCGGTACCAAAAAAAAAAGAAAAATGGCAAAAGGAAACCCTACGACATTTGTATACCAGGCTTAATGAGCAGTGACCTGCAGCTAAAGGAGACAAACCAAGATCTGTGCAACTCAGGTCTCCAGGGAAGAGGTGGAACTGGTCAGCTAAGGGTTGGACATTTAGAAAAATTGCTGCTGCATATTTGGTGCCTTTGAGAAGGAAAAAAAAAAACCCCAGGTACTTAGAACTCAATGAAAAAAACAAAAAGATGATTAATTCCAGGTAAAACCAAGAAAAAAATAAGATGTAATAGTTTACTATTTGAGCGAAGAGTTTACTTGGTAAATAATGTAAACACTGCTGATTTAACTGTAACTTACAGGAAACTACACTGTGAGGACAGAAGAGAGAAATTGGGGAGATAGAGTCATACAAGAGAACTAATTCCGTAACTGCCAGAGTAAATATTGTCTAAAGCTGATAAGTCATAGTGGTGCCCTCAAGCCACCACAGACTGGGCGGCTTCAGCAGTGGAGACTGATTATCTCCCAGTCTGGAGGCTGGAAGGCCGACATCCAGGCATTGCAGGGCTGGTTGCCTCTGAGCCATCTCCTCCCTTTGTCATCACCTTGTCTTCCTTCAGTGTGTGTCTGGGAATCACATGAGAGAAGCACTTCTCAAAAGAATGCCAGATGTATTGGATAAAGGCCTACCCTAAAGACCTCATTTTACCTTAATTATCTCTTTAAAGACCCTGTATCCAAATATAGTCACATTCTGAGGTACTGAAGAGTTCAGACTTCAACAGCTGGAACTGGGGAAGCCCTGATTCAGCCCACAGCAAGCAGTATAAGCAGTATAAGCAGAAGCCACAGCCAAGAAGTCAAGAGGGCTGATTGTGGCTGCCTTTGTGCAGGGAGCCTGGAAGGTAGCGTCTGATAAGACAGGTACTATTTAAATTTTTTACGAAGTAGCAAGTCACAGAGCTAAGGCTTGAAGCCAGTCTGGTTCCAAACCTTGTGCTTCTCCACTCTGCCACACATCTCCACTGCACCTAGTCAGAGCCACCTGATGGGCCATCATTACTTTACAGCTGCATTGGCACCACTGTGACCTTGAAAGCTGCCTCTTGGTTTTTCTTTTCCAGCTGCAAAACTAGGGAAAGACTGAGATGCAAGGAATCCTGGAGGCAAGGGCTTAATACAGAGTGTTCTGCCTAGAGTTTCCTGCCCTGGTGTCCTGGAACTGTTGGGTGCGTGTCTGATTTCACTTTGAGTCTTGATCCTACAAAGGGTCCATCCTGACAAAGCTAATGGGGCGGGGATTTAGCTCAGTGGTCCCCGTGGCTGCCTCACAAGCGCAAGGTCCTGAGTTTGATCCCTGATACTACAAAAAAATAAAAACTCAGTGGTGCCCATGCCTGCCTCACAAAACTGATGTCCCACCTCCTCACTGAGGTCTAAAGCAGCCACTCACCCTCATTTTCTTGAGTCCCGGTTGGCTGTTGGAGGTGGCCATGGCCTCTGAAAGTATTCTCAGGTTTAGGACTATCGTGACATTCACAGTGATTGATGGCTTCATTTCACGTCAGGCTTTGGTCATTTGTGTTTAGGTTGGTGTGCAGTTCACCCCACTCTCAAGTCAGACAGGATCTTGGGGTTGCCTTCCCCGACGCCCTTCCAGAGTGCACATCCAGTGACCTCTGAGAGACGTGGAGGTTGGTATGTATGTGTGTCTGTCTCTTCATGCCTCACGTTATTACTTCCTAATAAAATTCTGATAGCTGGGCCCATCAATATCTCAAATACATGTGAGGAAACGTTAATTTAGAATCAATTTTAGGATGTTTCAGACTGTAAAGTCCTTTTAACTAGATCTCTGGCAAAGATGTAGAAGCACTTTATGGGACTGTAAATTTCATGTTGAACAGTCTTTGTGAAATACACATCTCCTCTACACACAAGCTGTTCTCTCCATATCAATCATAGCCCCTGCAAGTAATGTTTCACAAATATTCTGTAAATCACAGAAAACCCCATGATAATGTGAAATATGACTTTCACTTGTCTTGTAGACAAAAGAATCACACATGCCTCTCTCCCATCAGCACTAACATTTGTTATGGATAATAACACTTTCAATCACAACTATTTTTGGAAAACGGGTTTATTTTAAACCTTCCCTCCCCCACTGAAAACACTCTCCCAAGGACACAGACTCCTACAAACCACAGCCCATTAATCCAACTATGGAATAGGAACTTTTTCTTACCACTAACTTTTTTAAAAAGTTGTCTTGAAAAATTAGAGTAAAACCCTAGGTACAAGGTTAAGGAGCATTTTATCTTAGCAGGTGGAGGGGGCTAGATCTCTACAGACCCCAAATCTCTGACCCTATGTGAAGCAGGCTGTAAGAAAGGCCAGGTTCTTAGTAAGCATGGTCATTCTCAGCTTGATACTGTGGTCTTTCAAATGCTAGCATCACCAGGAAAGCTTTTAACTCTTCAAGAGCAGATATTTGAGCCAGGCATGAGGATGCTGAGGCAGGAGGATCGCAAGTTTGAGCCCAGCCTATAATACATAGTGAGACCCTGTCTCAAAACAACAATAAAACCCTTATTAAAAAGAGCAGACAAGGGCCAGGGATTTAGCTCAGTGGTTCTGCTGCCTGTCACAAGTGCAAGGTCCCAAGTTCAATACCTGGTACCAAAAAAAAAAAAAAAGAAAGAAAGAAAAGAACAAACATTAGCTTGTCGTGGAGGTGCATGCCTATAATCCCAGCACTCTGGAAGCTGAGGCAGGAGGATTGTCATGAGTTCAAAGCCAGCATGGGCTACACAGTGAGTGAGTTCAAGGCTAGCCTGAACTACATAGTAAGACACTGCTTCGGAAAAAAAAAAAAAAACTTACTACCTTATGTTCTTTTTGGTTTTAGGGGTTGAACCCAGGGCCTCATGCATGCTGGGCAATACTCTATAATTGAACTACACCCCCAGCCTTTCATTTTGAGACAGGGTCTCATTAAATTGCACAGGCTTGATGAATGTAACTGTACTGTATACTTTAAAAAGTACCAATAAACTCAATAATAAAAAAACTCAACAAATTAAGAAAAAAAATTGCACAGGCTATCCTTGAACTTGCAGTCTTCCTAGCTTAGCTTCCCAAGTAGCTGGAATGACAGGCATGTACCACCATACCCAGCTACCTTAATGTTCTTAATTCCATTGTAACCCTCATTGCTCAAGTAGCAGCTGACTGTCCCTAGAGTGAATTTTGCATGTAACTATACCCAGCTAATCAGCAGAAAAGCAATATTCATGAAAGGATGGATTTGCATGCTTCTAAACATGCTAGTAACCTGTCTATTTTCCCTTCCTCTGTAGCTACCCCCAGGATTCGTTGATAATGACTTCTATAAAGGAGCAGGCAGCAATTAGCAGGCTTTTAAGTTTCTTACAAGAGTGGGACAATGCTGGCAAAGTCGCAAGGGGTCACATCCTTGACAATTTCATTCAAATCAACCAAGGCAAGACCGGCCCTGAATTGGAGCAGGAGTTTTCCCAGGGAGCCAGCTTGTTCCTCGTACGCTTGACCACCTACCTTAGAATCACGTATCCTTTGCTAAACAGAAAGAAAGCAAACAAAAGCAATCTTCCAAAAAGAAAAAAGAAAGTTGCTGAAGGAGCTCTTCCCCTGATTTTCTAATATTTTAGAACAGGACACCTGGTGATAAAAATATCCCAAAATTTAAAACTGTTGACTTCCTGTCATTCTCTCCTCCCATCTCCCCGCCCATCTTCCCATCAGAGCTGAAGTAGCTACTCCTTTTGTCTAGGACTAATTTGTATTTGTTCTATACTTGAATCCCTTCCCATCTCCTTAGAGGCTTTATTTTTACTCTTTTATAGCTTTCTCCATCACTTCGTAACCAGCTTTTTTCATCAGCAAATATGCAGAAATCTCTTCTACTGTAAAACATAAAATTAAATTACTGACTCGAAATTTAGTTTCACCCAGCTCCTGCCCATCACAGTGATACATGCTGAGAAGGATCCTGATGCTCCCTGGCTCCCTTCCCTCTCCCCTGCTTTCTCCCCTGCCCTCTGCCCTCTGGTTTCTGTTCCCCTCACTCCCCTGGTGCAGGTCTTGCCAAGGTTACCACTGGTTTTCTCGTCATAAAGGCCAGTGACTCCATCCTCATTCCTCACACGTGCCCTCTCAGTGGCATTTGTCAGCGATCCTATCTCTGCCATCTCTCTCTGCTCTCTGTGATCCCAGGTCTCTTGGTTTCTCCTTTCTTTTTGTCCATTGTTTCTCTTCTTCAGCCTTCCCTTAAATGTTTCTTGAGACTCCACCCACATCCTCGTCTCTGCTCAGATTCTCCCTGAGTAGTTGAATCCATTGTCAGGATGCGCACACCACACCAGCTGGAGGAGCCTCCAAATTTCCCTCTGGAATCTGACTGTATATCCATGAGATTTGATCAAAATATATAACAAATGTTGTAATATTTTTAAATTATTACAGTATTGCCAGTTGAGGATTTAGCTCAGTGGTGCCACACCTGCCTCGCATGCACAAGGCCCTGAGTTCAATCCCCGGTATCAGGAAAAACATATCGCCAATAATCTCCTCTCTCTCAAAATACTTCCTTGGCTTTGTTTTTTTGTTGTTTTTGTTTTTTGTTCCCCTGACTTTGAACATACTTATCTCACCATTCTTGCCACTCTTTTTTTGTACTGAGAATCAAACTCGGGACCTTGCACTTGCCAGGCGGGCACTGTTCCACTGAGCTAAATCCCTGGCGTGTTCTTGACACTTTTGAAACCATTCTGGAAGTCTTCTTTCATGAGTGTCTTTACACAATGTGATCGACAGTGTGGTGACTGCTGCTGCCAAGTGGCATCCAGTGGAAAAGGCAGGCAGGCTGGTAAAAACATTATGGTGCACCCTCCTCAACCTCATTCACCAGACCTGGTACTGTAAAGTTTCTGGCCCTTCTCCAAAGGCAAAATGACCAAGAAAGGTAAACATTTTGAATCATTTCAGGACATGGAAGCAGCCACAACCACACAATGCCACAGGTTGACTCTCATATTCCCAACTTGGGAAAATGGGTGAACATAAAAAAAAAAAAAGAAGCAAGTTTGGGTGTAGCTGAGTTTGATTGGGACATGCTAAGTTTGAAGTGTTTGTGTTCAGGAGCCCTGGAAGCAGAGAGGGCTGAAGACATATTTTGTCACCATTGAGGTGACACTTTGAACTCTGGGTAGGCTCTATGTGCCCATGGTACTTCGTGGATTCAACTCAGACCCTTTATATTGAATCCTCTCCTATTCAGTCAGTACTCTCCTTATATGACTAACTCCTACTCCCTTATTCAGGCTTTTTAATTATTTTATTTTATTTGAGACAAGATCTCACTCTGTAATTCAGGCTGATCTTGAACTCATTATTTAGCCCAGGCTCACTTCAAACTCATGGTGATCCTCCTGCCTCAGGATCACAGGCATGCACCCACCATGACTGGCTCAGGCTTTTAAAAAAAAATCTCACCAAGTGGCTAAATTCCAGGCTTGGACCCAAACTTGTGATCCTTCTGCCTTAGCCTCCCAGAATGCTGGGATTATAAGCATGCCACCACCACACCCAGCCATCAGGCCTCAATTTAAACATTGCTTTTTTAGGAAGCTCACTTCTTTTCTTGATCTTTGCTCTTGTGTTCTTCTCCGTGTTTCAAGTGCCAGTCCCAGTGTCTAAAATATAGTGGACACTGAACCAGGCTCTTAATATATTGTCAAAAATTTAGTTTATACACCTAGAATTCCTCAAATCCCCTAACTTTTTGTGACCCTGTCCTACAACAGAAAAATAATGGACCAGCTGAAGTGATGGTTTTGTTTGTTTGTTTGTTTTGGTGTGTGTGTGAGTGGGTGGGTGTGTGGTACTAGGATTGAATCCAGGGCCTTTGCACTGTTATATTCCCAGCCCTTTTTTTTTTTTTTTTTTTTTTTTTTTTTTTTTTTTTTTTTTTTTTTTTTTTTGAGACAGGGTCACACTAAGTCATTATGTTGCCCAGGCTCAAATTTGCAGTCTTCTTACCTCATCCTCTCAGAGTGCGGGGATCACTACCATGCCCAGATGATAGTGTTTGAATTAGAGATTCCACTCTCCCTCCCCAGCCTTCCCGTTATGGTGTGTTTTAGAAGAAAACAGATCCATATGGCATCATGATCTCCTGCAGAACTGTCACATAAGCCTAAACCTTTTTGTCAGTCTTCCAGAATAGATCAGTAACCAAAAGTTTATAGATTATAATTGACAAAACTATTAATTGCCACTTATTGAGTCTTTATATTCTAGGCACTGCACAAATATTATCTCATTTGAGACTTCCACTCAGCATAATAGGCGGTTGCTGTTATCTCATTTTATAGATAAGGAAGATGAGGCTTGGAAAGGTTGAGTAATTAACTAGTAAATAACAGAGATGCGGTTTAAAATAGGTCTTTCTGGCCCGAAGCCCATGACAGGCACCGTAGCGGATGGTGCAGACCCACAGCTCCCCCTGCACCAGCACACAGGGTGGGGGATGGGGTCATCGCATAAAGAGCTGAAGAACCCCGCCCCCTCTCTTTGGCCACCGGCAGGAAGGCAAACGCTCGGTCTGATTTAGGCTGCCGGGTTCAAATCCTGATTTCATCAGTAGCTTTTGGTTGTCTCCGGTTGCTCAGGGAGTAAATGCAAATACTAATAGCGCCCACTGGAGGGCTGTAGTGAGCAAAGCAGTGCGGGGCCCACAGTAAATGATGGTGTACTTGTTAGCTTCTACAGACACTGCGGCAACCTTCTAGAGCTAATTGCTGGAAATAATAGACCAGAAATATGTACATCGGGTGGCTCTGCAAACAAGAGTAGCCTGGGACAGGAAAAAGGAGGTGACAAAGATTGGTCGATCTAGCTGGTAACTGAAGGAAAGAAGAGAATGCACTGAGGCAGGGACAGGGGGCAGGGTTTCGGGGTGCAGGGAAGGGACAGTGTAGGAATAAAGAGACTACCATTCGGGCTGAGCACCTGGCTCCCGGCCACGGCAGCAACAGGCAGAGGAGCCTGGCTCCAGAGCAAACACTGCTTTCACAGTAAAGAGCCTTTCCTAATGAGCCAATCTGTCTCTACTTCTATTGGCATCCTGGGAACCAGGGTGCAGCAGAGATAATTTGCCTCACACCCCCATGCTCCCCCCAACAAAGCACCATTACCTCCAACCCATTACATTAGCCTTTATCAGTCTTGGACGCTCTCAGTGATCCTCCATGAGCTGCAATAATTTCAGCTAATTTCTTAAGTGTTCTAAGAGCCTGTGATGTGTTATGAGCCTAGTAATTGTTGACTGGTTCCCTTTCTGTTGTGGCTTGATTTCATACCTTGTATCTGAGCTGATGCGTGCTCTGGGTGCTTTATTACAATGAGGCTTTTTGAAAAGGCTCACATTAAAAAATAACATTAAATACTGAGGTTGTTTTAAATCAAGGTTTAATTTTTCCACCATCTCCTCTTATGCTTATTAAGAAGCCATGCAATTCTTCATAATAGTGACCTCCATTGTAAAACTTTGTGCAAGTATGAAATTGAGAATTAATGATGAAGCTAGTTCTTTTTAGAGAAGTCTAAGAATGAGGCATGAAATAGCAAACTATGCCAAGCCCCAAGGGAGCAATGGTCACAGCCTAGAGAGGTTTGGGAAACTGACCCTCAGTTTCTTCTGTACCTTTGATCGTTCAAGCGTCCTTGCTCCAGGGAAACTTCCTGGAGAACAAGGAACAACCCTAACCCTCCCACCTCTGTGCTGCCCCATCCCCTTCAGCTAGTGGCTCCTCTCGGGACAAAGAGTATTATTCAGCTGCCTGGTCATCCTGGGATTGGGCATAGGATCTGAGTTTTGCTTGAAAAACCACCTGAAATGTACTCTTTAACTTGCTGTGCAGCTATATGACTGGCTCAGGTTTAGAAAAGCTCCTGAGAGCCATTGGCATCTTCTTATCAGCTGTGAGCAGGTGAGTTCCATTAAGATTCTGGGGTCTTCATGGCATATCAGGCTCATGGTGTCCTTGGCATTCACACTACACAGGACGGTGGATTCGAGATATCAGCAGGTGCCTGGTGACTCTTGGGATGGGACCAGAGGGAGCATTCCCAACAGTCCCACCCGAGTTGTTCCCATTCCCCACACTCCCTGTGGCCCTTTACTAGTCACCACCTTCTTGGTTGTGAATTTTAGAAAAGCAATTCCTGCTAGACTTGGGAAAAGAGAATGTATTGGCTTTTTCACTGAAAAGCCCAGAAGGTGGAAATTTTCACTGAAAACCTCAGAATGTATTTCAGGGCTGACTAGATCCAGGGGCCCAAACAGCATCATTAGTTCTCATTCGCTCCCTTCCTTGTTTCCTGTTCTTAATTTCTTCTCCTCTTTATTCAGATACCATTGCATTCAGACACATACTTATTCCTCAGCCCCACTGACTAGAGAGCATATCTTTTGCAGGGGATCCCAAGAATGTCCTGAATTTTGAAACTTATTAGACCCACTTAGGTCATGAGCCTGGCACCAAATCAGGTTGTACAATCGGAAGGATAATGTACCCTGTTGCTTGCTTGCCCCACCGAAATCACAGGGCCCATGAGTGCAGGAGGCATGATTCCACAAAGGACAACTGAGTGCCATTAAAAGAAAAGGGACAGAGGTTGAAAAGCCAAAAGCAAGAAATGTTCATTGTGTTTAATTCCAGAATTTCCTGCTGGAAAGAAGACTTTCCAAACTATTGTATCATGTTATTTATAGCCATTTCCTGGGTAGGAAGCAAAGTACATGTAGAAAGGGGCTTGGGATGGCTTAGAAAGATTTGTGCCAAGAAATTTGATAAGTGTTTTATTCCTACTCTTCACCCATCCCCAACAGTAATCGGTACCTGATAGAATTTCTTGAGGTTGGAGGTGTCCTAACACTCTTGGAAATACTTGGGCTAGAGAAGATCAAGGAAGAGGACAAGAAGGAAGCCATCAAGCTTCTGCAGGTTATTGCAAACTCTGGGAGGAAGTACAAGGAGCTCATTTGTGAAAGCTATGGTGGGTACTGTGTATGACTAGGTGCTAATTCCATGTCTCACTAGGGGCCTGGGTAGATTGGCAGCAGCACCCACCACCGCTGTGGAGAATAAAAACCAGCAGACCCAACCGATTGTACAGGAGGCATTTTGTACAGTGGACTCAGTTTCTGTCCCCGTCATCACCAGAAAGCCAGATTTATGACTTCCCTGACTGATTATTTGCTCAAGTCTTCCCGGGGTAGTTTGAGAAATACCTCTCCATTTAAATATATCCTCTTCCACACATCTATCCACCAAAGGTTTATTGCCCCTTGCTCAAAATCCTGTGTGACATTGAGTATGGATAACTCTAGAAATGAAAGTGAAATAAAATTATCAGATACCTACTATGTGCAAGGTATATGCCAAAGTGCTAAGGATACAAAGATGAATAAAATATGACCCCTGTCCTCAAAGAGCCCACAGTCTGGCGAGAAAGATGGAAACAATCTTAGTAATTCTAGTAATCGAGTTCTCAGTTTGAGGCACAGAAGGCAGAGACCATCTCCTATGCAGCCACTTCCCAAAGTACTTCCCCTCTACACTCCCCACAGAGGTCTCCTTTCTTCCTGTCTCCTCCACAGCCTCTCTGAACCTCCATGTCTTTATTCATAAAATGGACTAACATATCTCTCTCACTCTAGTTTCTGGGATTAAATGAAAATGTTTTTTCAGTACTGGGAATCAAACTCAGGACCTTGTGCTTGCCAGGCAGGCACAGCTCTGCTGAGCTACATTCCCAGCCCTTCAGGGGTTAAATGAAGTAGTGTTTGGCAAATACATTTTGTAAACTGCTGAGTACCCTATAGATGTTATCATCTAGTAGTAAATATGTATATTTCATTTCTATGTTTTGCAGAGCCTTTTTGGTTTCCTTTTGTTTCGTTTTGGTTTTTTTGTTTTGCTCTGTTTTTTTATACTGGGGATGGAACTCTGGACCTTGCAATTGTGAGGCAGGCGGTGGAACCACTGAGCTAAATCCCCGGCCCTTGTTTTGTTTTTTGAGATTGGGTCTCACTATGCATGACCTGGAACTCACTATGTAGCTCAGGCTGGCCTCGAACTTGTATCGATCCTGCTGCCTCAGCTTCCTAAGTACTGGGATTACAGGCATGCACCACCATACCCAATGCCATTTTAAATTTTAAAACACAGATTCTGACATGCCTGTGCTGACACAAAACCCTCTGGTCACACAGCTAGCGGTGAATAAGACCGTGATGAAAACCGAGCCTCGATTTTTGCTTTGATTAAACAGCCTCGGTTGAAAAGATCAAATTGTCTTCACATCATGTAATCTTGAGTGGGGATCATTTTCCTAAATCCCTTCCAATGTAGCACTTTCTTGTCTTCCCCCAGGTGTACGATCTATAGCAGAATTTTTGGCAAAGTCTAAGTCAGAAGAGACCCAGGAAGAAGTACAGGTTCTGTTGGATTCTTTGGTCCATGGTAACCCCAAGTACCAGAATCAAGTATACAAAGGTCTGATAGCTTTGCTTCCCTGCACCTCCCCGAAAGCTCAGCAGCTGGCCCTGCAGACTCTCAGGACTGCCCAGGTGAGCCCAGGCTGCTGTGCTCATTGGTCTCACAATTACCTTCAGCAGTGCACTTCCCACCGGCGCGAGAAACAGCACAGCCACCCACTGCGTGTCTGGGGTTTCGTCAGTGTTGCTCCCACAAGGCCAAAGTGGGGCAGAAAGTTCATGTCGCCCAGCAGAGTGATTTGTCCTGTTTACTTAAGAATCAGAAAGATGCTGGCAGACTGCAAAGTGGTTGAGACAAACAAGGATGATGAGAAGAATGTAGAAAAGATTAAAGATGTCAATGTGATAGGGAGAGAATCATGATGCATTTGTAGCCAGCATGTAAGTGAAGAGGTCAGGTCTCTATTACTTGGAAAAGTTCCTTTTTTTCGCATTGGCTTCTGCCCCTCTCAGTGCCCTAGAAAACAAGGGAAGTCAAAGTTGGGACATGGTGACCACAAGAGGACAGTGTGCCTAGTAAGGAGGAGAACCCTCAAAAGCTCTCAAAATGACTCCAGATGGACTAGAGGCAGGGAGACCATGAAAGGAGACACAGATAAGGCCCAAACAGTGGCAGTGGCAGTGGGAATTGAGGTGACCAGGTTGGAGAGATATTTCTGAGGTAGAGGGTCTGGGACTAAGGGAAGTAAAAGAAATCAAAATTGATACCCAGCTTTGGGATTAACTAGCAGAGTGAGTTGTACACAACTAAGAAAGAGCAGGAAATCTGAGCATGATAGCTCATGCCTGTAATCTCCGAACTCTGGGAGGCTAAGGCAGAGGCAAGTTTGAGCCCAGCCTGGGCCACTGAGTGACTTAGTGAGACCCTGTGTTAAGGCCCTGGCACACGGAAAAAATCAGTGTAATTCAGGAGGAGTTAGGTTGTAACCCAAAAAACTTGATAGGTCCCTGGCAATGCTTTGTCCTCTGAAGCTCCCCCAGGCAATCCTCATTCCTAGCTCCACTGAGGAAGTGCTGTCTGGAACAGCTAGGGGAGATGCCCACGGGCAGCAGAGAATAAAAGCCTGAGAAAGGCTCTAGAAAAAGATGTCAGTGTGAACTTTGAAAACAGAGGAGTGAAGACTGAAACAGAAGGAAATGAGATCTCTAGGCAGAATGTACCAAGTCAGAGGACAGAAGAAGGGGTCCCCCCAAGAGCCAAGCAATGAGCTGAGGAGGAAAGAACAGCAACACGGATCTGATTGTCATGGGTAGTGTTTCCAGTTCGCCCTAAGTGCCTCCTATGTACCAGGCACCATTTGGGGAGCTTGTGTACCCACGTTTACTGTGCACAATATCTGATGGAGGCAGCATGGTAAAGTTTGAAGGAGTAAGAAGAGGGGTGGACAGGTAAATTTCCCAAGAGAGAGAAGATTTTAGGAGTTTGGAAGAGCCCCACTGTCCCTGACCTCCCTCCCCCAGCCAAGGTCACAGACTTTGTTCCTGCAGCTCTAGCAGGTGGCTGCCAGTCCTTGGCCTAACTTGTCCTGAGCCAGAGGGTTCAGTGGCAACCCGGCCAGATTCTCAGCCACACCCTGGCTGCCCATCTCTGCCTTCCCACCTATGGGGAGGCCTGGCCCCCATTTATTCCAGCACCTAGCTGTTTGGAAGTCCCAGTTTCATTTCCCCCAGGTGTGCAAGATCTGAAGAGTAACTACCTTGTCCTCATGTCTGTCCTGTCAGTTGATCATCGGAACCACGCACCCCAGCATCGTGGACTGTGTGCTGAAGGTGCTGGGCACGATGCACCTGGAAGTCCAGTACGAAGGTAGGGACTTCCTGTGGGTTACGGAAGGTGCAGTGAGTACATAACATATTATGAGAAGCAGCTGAAATACTGATAGCTGGAGCAGAGCATCGTAGGTGGGCAGGAGGCACCTGAGCAAAGGCCAGGCCCCCAATGCAGAGCGCTGTGGTAGGGAGCAGGGAGTGACCTGGCGTGGACTCACAGGAACCCAAAGAGTGATTCCTCTATTCCTCCCCTGCTCGCCTCAGGCCTGGAGCACAATGGGTGCCCCATAGGAGTTTGTTGGACAGATATTTAACATGGTTTAGCTTCAGTCATGCTGATGAACCCCAGAGTTGGAGCTGGCCCTGGCCTCATCTGGTCTCGGTTCAGTTTAGAGCCCCTCTGCCTCTCTTCACTAACAGTAAATACTGCAGCAGAAGCAGTGGGAGCACAAAGCTTTGGCGCAGTCTGTTTGGTTGGATGTCAGCTCGTGCGATAGCAATGAAACCGTGCACCTCAAAATAGTTTGAGGTGTCGCAGACCCATAACAGGTGCTCAACAAATATCTGTTGAGAATGGCTGTATTTTGAGAATGGATTTGTCAAGCTTGATGTCTTGGAGAGTATGCTGGTTATTCATGAGGTGCAGAGAGGGAGGTTAGGCGAGTTCAGATTGTCTTGCTGCTGTTCTATATGTGCATTTTAGTTAATATTGCTGGGTATTAAAGGATAAGTCTTACTGCCCAAATTATGTTAGAAATAGCAACGTAGTTTTTGGGAAGAACTGTCCTCTTGAAGTGACCTTTGTTAAAGCCACCTCTTGGAGCTAGATGTGGTCCTGAACTTAGGTCATGAAGTGAAGAGGGAAAGGGTGGGTGAGGGTGGTGAGGGCTCTTTGCTAGATCTTCATATCTGGAAGATGATTTTAGACTCTAACTATAGGCCTGTGGGTGCATTTTTTGGTAAAGCACTTGGACATATTGCACACAAAGTTCATACTCTATGGCACATACTCTAAGCTTTATAGATGTCAGGGGGTGACAGTGTACCATGAAAACTAGAGGTAGTGAGTTAAACAACATTTAAGAATCTTTTTGTTGTAATTGATAGAAAGATGCATCTTGGACTTGGAATTGTTGCAACACCTCCAGGCAGTGCGTATCAGGACTTGTCACTAGGCTGGCAGCAGAGGGACAAAAATAAGCACACAGGGAGAGATGTGAGCAAAGTGTTCAGATTTACATTTTGATAAGAGGAATCAAAGTATCTTCCAGCTATACTGCAGAAATACGTTGATAATTTCATGGGAATATGCCTTCTTGCTAATATCTTAATAGTAAAGATCTGGTAGCCGGGCGTGGTGGCGCACGCCTGTAATCCCTGCACTCAGGACGCTGAGGCAGGAGGATCGCTGTGAGTTCAAGACCAACCTGGGCTACACAGTGAGTTCCAGGGCAGTCTGAACTACATAGTGAGACCCTGTCTCAAAAACCAAAACAAAAAAGAAGCCTGTGCCCAAGAGGGGCCTGGCTGGCAGGATGAGAAGAGTCAATGAGTGATGGAAGGGAGTGGCTGACCTTGAAGGGGCATGATAGGCTTTGTTTTGTTCTTTGAACAAATATGTATTTAGTATCTGCGGTGAGCCCAGAACTAGCAGGTACTGGGGGAGGGGGATCTGCAGAAGGAGAAGAGTGATGGTTAGTAGGGAAGAAGGTTGTCCCTGCTACCTCCCATACTAGAGGGCGAGAGAGCCTCTCAGGCAAGAGTCGGGAAAGCCAGCAGTGGAGAGGCTCAGGTGCCAGGTAACGGGTCACCTTGCAGTGGGTGTCAGTGATGCAGGGACAGCTGACAGCCTCCCCTCCTCTTTCATCAAAGACTCCACCTCCCAATCCCAGATCTAACAGCCTCCTGCCCTACAATGTCTGCTCCTTCCCATGCCAGCAGTGTCCCTGTTGCTATTACAACCAACCCCTTTCCTCAAGGAGTTCGTTCCTGCAAGTAGCATCTCCTTTTTCCTCTGGTGGATCAGATTCACTGATGTGAATAGGCCTGTAGCTCCCATCTTGAAAAAGAACCTCTGGGTTTCATCCACAGCCCCCCTGGAGAAGCAGAATGTCCACAGAAAGGCAAAATTCAGCGGTAACCTTCCGGGATGTAGGCTCCTCCTTGACCTCAGCTTCCCCTGCTGGTGTTCATTTTCCACTTTCTTCCTCCTCAACCTCTCAGTGGCTTCTTACCTGGTTTCCAGTCCCCCACGTCTTCAGGGACTTCTGTGGTGCACTTTCTTCAGTTTTCCTTCCGCCTGCTGGTTTCACCATACTTTCGCTAGTTTCTCCTCTTTCTTTAGCACACTGTCAGGCCATCTACTTCTCATTTCTTTATCTACACTCTCCCTGAGTGATTTTGTCTAGTGCCGTGGTGTTTGTTTTGTTTTTGTTGTTTGGTTGATTTTTTAAGGTCTTTTGTGTTTGTTTGTTTGTTTGTTTTTGGTAGTGGGAATCGAACTCAGGACCTTGTGCTTCCAAGACAGGCATGGTGCTACTGAGCTAAATCTCTGGCACTGGTTGGTTGGTTTTTTGAGACTGGACCTTATTTTGTAATTCAGGCTGGCCTTGAACTCAGTGTGTAGCCCAGGCTGGCCTTGAACTCACAGTGATTCTCCTACCTCAGCCTCCTGAGTGCCAGGATCACGGGCCTCGCCAACATGCCTGGCTCTAGTACCGTGCTTTAAATGCCATATATAGAGAGATGTAAATATAGATATAGACAAATCTGTATCTCTCCAATTTATGGCCACAACAGAATTTATTTTTTCCCAAAAAATCTTAGTCTTATTTTTCTCTATCTCAGTACAAGGTACCCATCAACCTAATTGCCCAAGTAAAACCTGTCTAGCCGAATTGTCTTCTTCCTCTCCCCTCCCACCCCATCCCATCCTTACCAAGTCTTCTAGGCTCTATCTTGGACTTCCTCAGTCTAACCCACCACCCTGTCTCCTAATTTATCTTTTGGTCTCATTCTGCCCCCTGATATCTGTTCTACTATTGCAGCCACAATAATCACTTTAAAAATATAAATTAGGGGCTTGGAAAATGGCTTGGTGGCAAAACACATGCTTGGCACATGCATGGCCCTAGGTTCAGTCCTCAGCACCAAATATATATATACACACACACACACATATATACACACGCGCGTGCATGTGGCACCTAGACTTCCGCTCCCCCAGACCTCGGATGGATGGGCACTTCCTGTGTAATCTCAGGTGTCACTTCTGCGAGAGAATTCCCTGACCCCTCTCCAAAGCTCCCCTTTCCCTCCCACTACTGCCTAGTCTCTCCATCATTTCACATCATCTACCCATTTCTTTTCAGCCCAGATCTGACCACAGTCCTGTTGGCTAAGAAGGGACTGTGTGTCTTACATGACCCTTTATTTTTTTATTTTTTTATTTTTTATGGTACCAGGGATCGAACTTGGGTCCTTGCCCTTACCAGGCAGGTGGCAAAACCTGGGAGTTCTTAGAGCCAAGGATGAGGGTATGGAGAAGGGGGAAGAGCAATGTGTTCGTCAGGTGTGGTGGAACATGCTGCGTGCCTGTAGTTCCACCCCTCTTCGAGGCTGAGGCAGCAGGATCCCAAGTTTGAGCCCAGCCTGGGCACTTTAGCAACTCAGTGAGACCCTGTCTTCTAATGTTATGGAAGGAATTGGTAAGTGACACACAGAGAGGCAGCAGAGTGGAAGTAAAATAACAAAAGTTTACTCCATTTATGGGAATCGATGACACCTACTGGCAGTGCCCTGATCGACCCAGTACTGGGCTACAACTCCCTCTTTTGTAGGGTTTTACAGCCTTGATATCATTCAAGTGGTTACATTTCATTTTCACAGTTCACATTGCGGATATTCAAAACATGGTGGTGAGGCAGTTGAATTTCAACCCAGATGTAGCACTTCTTTGTTAGGGGCACTAAGATTTATTTAGTTATCTGTTCAGCCAAGGGGAAGGGAGCGTTACTGGTCAGCAAAGCTAACAATGGTTCTTTTCATTTACAAAACTTTTGAGGGAGACTAGATGCCTCCTGTGCCTTTTAATTCTGAACTAAACAAAGAAAACAGCAGAAGTTATTTTACATTGTGACATTTCATAGTTTTTTTGCTAAAAAGTTTTCTCTATCACTAATAAAAAAGGAGTGGGAGTGTAATTCAGTGCAAAGGCCCTGGATTCAGTCCCTAGTAGTGCTGGGGGCAGGGAGGTTAAGGAGGAAGATAAGAGATGATAAAGTCTTTACAGCAGAGAAGGTGGGTCTTCCAGTTACCTATTGTTTATAATAAACTGTCCCAAATTTCATGCCATAAAGCTACCATAAAATGTCCACACATTCTGTAAGTCAGGAGTGTGAAAAAAGCCAATGGCCTCTGCTCCCTGGAGTCTGGAGTGGCATCTGGGAAGCTAGTAAGGCTCAGGACCACTGATTCTTCCCTGTGCCTCAGGCTCCAGTGTGGCTCCACATGGCACTCTTGCAGACTCTGTCTTCACTTAATTTTTGGATATGTTGTTCATCATAAATTTTTGGTGCCAGGCGTGGTGGCACATGCCTGTAATCCCAGCACTCGGAGGCTGAGGCAGGAGGTTGCTGTGAGTTCGAGACCAACCTGGGCTACATAGTGAGTTCCAGGTCAGTCTCAACTACATAGTGAGACCCTGTCTCAAAAAACCAAACAAAAAACCAAAAAACATAAATTTTTGGTCATTAATTTTTTTTAAAAGATTACATTAAGGGCCAGGGATCTGGTTCAGTGGTTCCACTGCCTGCCTCACAAGCCCAAGGGCCCGAGTTAAATCCCCAGTACCAAATAAATAAATAAATACATACATACAGATTACACTGAAGCCAAGTATGGTTGCACACACTTGTAATCCCACTACTCTGGGAGGTTGAGGCAGGAGGATCAAAAGTTCAAAGCCCAGCCTGGGCACATTCACCACCTAGCAAGGCCTTGTCTCAAAATAAAATTTTTTAAAAACAATAGAAATAC